TAGACTACTCGCACAATGCCGTCTAGGCGGCGCGCTAGTACTCGGTCACGATAAAAATATCAGAATCATCATCCAGTCTGGCTCTCTTGGTGCAAATACTGAAGAAACTCGACATGTTTGCGTAAAGGAGATATTTTTTCAAGGTATCCCCTTTTATCATTCAATGCATACTATCCAGCAGAATTATTTTCAACTAAACGGCGTCAGTCGAGCCGTAATCGTCACTGGGGTAGTAGAGGTCATTTGACTAGCACGGACAGCAAACAACCAGCCTCGCCAAAGCCAAATTTTAGAGCCGGTCGAACAATTAAGAGATCTTCACTATTCTGACTCTGAGAAATTTGGTCACCGAGTCCGAGTTCCGCTGAATTAAGTTCAAGGCCGATACAAATGTGAAGTATTTCAAATGAGAGACTATGTTGTTATTTGCACTGTGTAGCCCCGCTCTTGTCAAGTTCAGTCAGCCGCTCTAGCATCTGAGAGCCGAAAGCTGCGTGGGGTTTGAATTCTCGGGTCATGTTAGTCTGCTTTTGCGGCACATGAGAGTAGCGTTCCTGGCGGTGGCGAGAGAGTATCATAGGTCGCCAACTCGAGCAATCTGATTTCTTCTCAAGCAATACGGCTAGATAATATTGAAGTGTAAGTTCTTTTCTGACATTGTTTCATAGCTACCTAGTTGCGTACGCAATTCAAATCTGATGCAAAGAAAAGAAGTATAGGTCTTAGACCATAGCCACTAAGCAATCCAGCTTTGGAATGACCAAGTGACTCGCGATAGTCGGAAAATTTTCTCGGTCTTTACCTGTCAGTGTAAGAGTCATAGCACTGGCAAGGGGGATATCTTGGTTCCGGAAATTTTGCGGTCGGAACCACAACGCTGATTCCCAGATGGGCGATCGAAGCCGTAGAAATTTCAGAGACGGCGATTTAGTACCTCGTCGCAGCTTATTCAATCGGAGGATTCGCTTTGACATTTGGGTTGAGGTTTGAGCGTTGAAGTTTCCATCTCATCTAGGCTGATTTATACTGATATTTCAAAGGCAGTTGTAGTCTGGCCTTGGTTTTGCGCATCCTCGAATCTTGAAGGAGCTCCTAAAGAACCTGTGTATAGTTCTGCTAGATATATTTCTACCCCATGGACGTCTTCGAAGGTATTTGACCGTTACCAATGTGTATCATGGGATGCCCTCAGTCATTCTTGTAAATTGATGAAAGGGTTATCATAGTGGTAGAAAACCGATGGCGTTCTAAACCAAGCTGTAAGCGCCTCAGAATGGATGAATAGAATTTTTATTCGCAGTGGTCACAAGCCTAGCAGTCATAGAGCATGACATGGAGCCTCAGGAAGGAATTGGGCATGGGCGAGTTAGATGGAGTCGGGACAGAGCCCAGGTCACGCATCGCGTTCTGGCACGACGCAAATTATTTTTCGGCCTCATGATAAGTTCGAGACTTGTCATTGGCCAGAGACCGACATAGAATAGAATTGAATATAAGTCCCTACTGAGTCTATAACTAGGAAGGAGTTGAAGCCGACATAAACTGCTTGCATTTGAAAGACCTCCGCTAACATTTTGCTTCAGTCTTGGGCGGATAGGTTCATGATGCGTGGAAACTGAAATCCACACTGATGCTTGATATTAAATGCCACAAAGTTCAATGAAAGATCACCCGCCTCTCCCTCATCTCGCATTTATTTCATCACATCGTCAACTTTTCCAGCGGGACCGGGAATTCCTGAGGTCAAGGCGGTGGAACAAGTCATCCAATCAGAGAGTGAAGTGCAGAAAGTTAGGGTCTAGATGCTGCTGCGGATATCATGGGATTCTCTTGCTCCAGAGACTTTACTGTAGCTAATTCAACATAACACCAGAGAGTGGCGAGGTATTTCTAGTGCATTTGTGGCTTTGGGCTCAGGCTGAGCTTGCGTCGTACCGTTATTCTTTATCTTTGGGGAGTCATTTCGCTAGGGCAATCACGTCTCTCGGAGAAACTCTCATCACGAGTCTATTCCTTAGCTAAAGGTGGCGACTTGCTCGGATATGGCGTGTCCCATGACAATACAGAAGTAAATATTTGCTAGCGATCCAGACAGGTAGGATTCATCAATTCTTACACTAGCGTCTTCTTGTAAAGATGCTGATATACCTGCGCTTTTAGGTCCTTGTCACTTCTAGGATCTACCTTGGGGATGCAATTTTGATTTATCAATTATCTCCGAGAGCTAGTCTGATTGGTGTAGTGGTATACCGTTTGTTCCTATTTCAAACCATATCGTGAACAGCTTTGTAATCTACGGCAGTATCTATAGTGTTACCACTTATATCCACACATCAACATGTATTACGTGGGCATCTACTGAAAGTTATGAAAACCAGCCATTAACCATCGTTGGTTTAAATCCTTTCTCAAATTTATTCACAGAAAAAAATTCAACGTTTTTTTGTGGAAGTATGTCAAGATTTATTTGCAAAAAAATTAGAAGCGGGAGAAATTTTATGATCGAAATCGCCTTTGTATCTATATCTGAGATAATTGTCGCTCAACTTCTTCAGATAGTGAAATTTTTGATAGCACATGAGTTCCTGAATAACAGTGTAGCAAGAGCTATTTTTCTAAGGATATTAGTAAGTAAAAACAAAGTTTATAATTTTATCCACATGCCAATAAAATTCGTGGCCTGGCTTCTATTACATGATTAAGACGAGCAAGTTCATCTATATCCGTCATATGCCTTGCGAACTTTACAGAGTAGGACAGAGCTCTGTGAGATTTATGACCATAAACTATGTAGTAAACCTCGTTCCTACTGAAGGCCCAAATAACTTAAGACTTTGATCGCGCGTTCAGTCGTATCAAGTCTGCTAGCCGAGAGAGTCTGATGTGTAGGCATCGACGCGCCGCATCTTTCTCTGCCTTAGCCCCGACTTACAATATTATCGCACCTAGTTTCCACCATAATTTTACTCACCGGAGAGTGCATTGGTAGGTGTTTAGATGATTGTAAAGTTTGGCTAAAGGTCTAGCTTTATCCGAGGACGTAATCTTGGGGGTCGAAAGATTTTGAGATAAACCTATCGACCCAATAAGATTTCTTGGTAAGCCACGGTCTATCTATGAATTGTAAGTTGGTGATGATCAGTCTTTCTGTATCTGTTTTATAGTGATAAGATTCCTACATGCTAATTTTCGACAAAAAATCGAGCAAAAGTTTTTCAGTTGGCCACCCACTCTGTTAATGTAATATAACTCTTGTTCGTGACTGAACTTCAACTTATAGAATTCTTCATACCAGATTCGTAGAGGTTACTTCTTCCATGTGATAATTTGTTGAATGTAGTAGAGTAACCTCGGTCGTTTTTCAGGAGGGCACTGCAAGTTGGTAGAGACTTAATTTTAACTTTGAAAATTTTTACCTCAAAAGTATCCATATTAAAAATTATACGATGTGAACTAGTAGCGAAGGGTCATTTAAACTTTCCGTGGAATCTCTATTCCATAATATTTTTTTTGTATTTTTGTTGTTTGGCTTAATGCAAATTTTTCGATTTTGCTATTTATTGCGATGCCTTAAAACAGAGCAACTATCAATTAGTCCAGGCTACACAATTAGGTGAATAGCGAGATGTGTTGTAGGATCGATCTGGACGTGTCAGACTATGATCGAACTCCGTGCATGGGGAAATAAGCACGTCGAAAAGTGTCGCGGCACACGGATACTACTAGCGCTACTTAGCGATGGGAAAATTCTGGAGACCCCAAGTTCTGCTCTAATTGCTTCATTGAGAAAGCTAACCCTAGACCATAGCTCAGCCCGAAATTAGCCGACTCCAAGCCCATCGACAGGTGAGTATTCAGATGTAGTCAGAAGCATTAATCTTCTGATAGATATGAATAGTACCAAGAGCTTCACTTCAGTTCCCTACCGCAGTTACTCTGTGTCATAAAACAGCCCGAAATGAAAATGAATTTGCAAAAGAAATAAATTCAACGTGCAGGATGGCTGGAAATAACTCACTCTAACCACCTGCGTTTGCCATTGTGATTCGAACTGGGGCCTTGAGCTTCTCTGCTGAGAAGATCCAGGGTCCAGACTTAGTGCGCTATCATAATGGGTAGGGACTTACAACTGAGGACAACGCCAGTCCGAGTCGCCGTCACCAGAAGCAACGTTTATGCATGGAGGACTTTAAAGTTTGCGCCAAATCTAGGATCCAAGAATTCCATATAAATGGTCAAGCTCGAGGGTTATCGCCACTCCACAGTCTCTTGATGTTAGGTGCCAGTTCACTTATCGGGAAATACAATCATCGATCACTCACGCTGCATAGCGCAAATAGCATGGTGGAATTTTTTAGAAATAACAATCAAGTCTTATATAGCTAAATCTAGTGGCTAGAGGCTGGCTGCATACAAGATTTAGCTTGGTGCGCTGATTGTACGAACGAATAAACGAACTTTATATAGTCCAGCTTCGTCTTGCCTATTCTTCTGTATGAGGAAGCTATGGCGCATTTAGTGGATCACTCGCTGGCAGTTCTCACTGGAAGCTGCTACCCCGCCCCCACAAAAGCTAATTATTACTTTCACTTGCCTGTAATCAGCAGTGAGCGGATATAAAACACGCTTTACTAAATGTAGCCTAGTAGCTGCGGGGTACAGGGGAAGGAACCAGACGGAATTACTTGGTCGCGATTAACTGTGGATAAAGTTTGGGGGCAACAATTGAGATTTGGTAGAGCACAACTCCTTTCTCCCCACTCATGCCTGTCGTCGAGGTTGGGCTTGTATTGGTGTCATGAGTACTGCCTATTGGCTGCACGGTATCTTCGAGGTCCTCTTGCGAGATGATGAACAGGTTCTTGCTCGATCAGGATTGGTCTGCACCATGGGGTCGTTACTGACAGTCTCTATCAGCATTGCAAGAGCTTCGACCACATGTTCGGATATATATATTTCACGCCTCTCATCCATCAGAGCCAACAACCAATCCAAAGAAAATGTTATCCACACTCACCCTTCTCACCATCTTCGCCACTGTCCAAGGCGCAAGTCTATTGCCTCGCGGCATGACTTGCAGAGACGTTCTCATACCTACCGTTGTCAATACATCTAACGACTACATCGATCCCACCATTAATTCTCAAGCTAAAGCTCGTAGCTGGATGCAAAAGGTCGATTCACACCGTATTAACTCTACTGAAGAAGTCGACATCAACGATAAATTCAACATTGCAGCACGCTACTGCGAGCCCGAAGTAAAAAATCCTTCACGCGCAAATACAATTCAGTTACTTGTTCATGGTATTACCTACACCAAAAACTATTGGTCTGGGTTAGGTCCACCAGGCGAAGGATATAATGGTGATAGTTACTCGTGGATTGCATATGCTTCCAAACAAGGCTATCCTACTTTGTCAATCGACCGACTCGGGAACGGCGACTCCGACCGACCCGATGGTATCGCTGCCGTTCAGATGAGCTCGCACGTGGAAGTAGCCGAGTCCCTTGTTAACACACTCAAAAATAGTACAGTTGCCGGTCGCCGGTTTGAGAAGGTTATATATGTCGGCCATTCATACGGTTCACTCATCGGAAATCTACACTCTGTTCATTATCCCGACTCGGTTGATTCTTATGTGCTCACTGGCTTCTCTAAGAATATACGTGCATCTCTTACCCCGACACTTATTACTGGTGACTTCAGGCCAGCTCGCATGGCCTACCCAGAGAAGTGGGGAGGGCAAACGCTCTCTTATTTCGCAGCCTCGAGTGAGTCCGGCGCGGACGGACTCTTTTTTACTGATGAAACCGTTGATCCAAACCTCAAGGCACTCAATTTCCGGCAGCGCGGTACAGTTACAGTTGGCGAGTTTGTAAGTGGGTATGAGAGTATTCAGGTCGCCACAAATTATCATGGTCATGTCTTTGTGTTAACCGGCAAGAACGACGCTATATTTTGCTCACCGGACGATTTTGGACAAGGCACCCTAAGCGGCCGTGGCGACTGTGGTACCGGCGAGGACAGCATAATTGCCAAGACGAGAGAGTTATATCCTGCTGCTGTTGACTACAGCTACTCGACACCAGAAAATACCGGACACTGTAACATCCTGCATCTGAACGCGCAGGAACAGTTCGCCACTGTTCATAACTGGCTCGCACGCTTTTATTAACATCCCTTGTATTTTAATTTGATTCGCCGGACGCATCTGGAAGTACTCGGAGCACCTAGCCACAAGAGCTTCAAGTCTTGTGATTTTTGATTCTCTCTTTGTAAATAGAAATTTCCTAGTGTAAATATGGTTTCGGGAGGAGTAAATGCCTAGAGGAGCAGGAGCTATAATTTTAATCTGTGCACCACTTACATTCTGCCACGACTTTTCCTTGATACGTGACTGTTATTGCGCCTTAGCCCTTGAAGATCTACCTGGGTGGGTATAGAAACTTCTGGCTGAATTATTTCCGAGTAGCTTTCAGGTGTAGGTTGGAACGGCTAATACCATAAGCAACTGCCATGAGAACAGGCTAGAGGCGAGGCAGCTGCCATGACACGGCCTGGAAACAAGATGGTCAAAGGCTGGTCCAAGAGTTATCATGTGCGTCATGCCGGGTTTCAAGGTTAATGCCGTCTAGAGCGACGAGCGGTGTGTAAACGGCGGGTAGGTCATGTCGGCTCTTCTAGCCTGACACCTGACAGCTGCAGCCCTACCGCCGATCACATTTCCAGGTGTCTGGTAGATCACGTCATGCGGCGATGGGATCAGGAGCTCCTGACGACCACAGCCCCTGCAGCCCCAGGCCCATACTAAGGGGCCTGGGGCTATAGAGTCAAGACGGGACCAAACCCTCACGCCCGACAACGCAGATACGGGCCGATTCTTGTGCTCTCCATCGCTGATTGCAGGGCGCGAGAGCTGAAAGTTTAACTCGACCTACGCCGTGCACCAACGGCAGGGCCGAAGCCACCAGCCATACCACGGCGATTCGGCCCGTACTTGGAGACACAATCGTTCTTTTGCACCTTAAAATAATACCGAATCCAGACACTGTACATAGAAGAGAGGCCATATTCAAGTCACAACTCACTGCTAATATCGTGACCCTGAAATATCTATCCTTATATAATCACTCTGCGTCGAAGCTTCATAGTCCCCATGCATTGGCTCGATAGAGATTCTTCTCCAGCTGCTACATGACCACGTGTGGCCCACCTTGGTCTATTGGCGAGTGGAGATAAGGGTAGCCTGACAGAGGCTCTAATTGCGCTCTTGAATAAAGATTCACGCGAATATCACTGTTGAGTAGAGGCTATAGAGGGTGTAAACCTCTAGAATTATACCTGCTTCCAGCCAAGAAAAGCTACATCTTCACAGAATACTTAGACTACATAGAACTGTAGAATATGGAATCGCTATTATGGGCCCTGAGACTCGACTGGGCGCTAATGTAGCACAATATTACACGCCTTAAGGCCAAGAGACCCTACGATGGTTAGATTATTTGAAATAGATGGTTCGCATCTCAGCTTAAAAGTTGAAGCCTCCCTTAAGTCAGAATACCTTGCAACCATCTCTTACAACTGAGCGAAAGACACAAATACTCGCATGTTATAGACAATGAATGATTTGTCAATGAATGAGTAGTTGTGGGAAAAGTATGCAGAGAGTTCCAACCCTTTGATCTTCCACTTCAACGGTCATCTTCGTCGCCAAGTAGTAGCAATTTAATCGAGAATGCAGCGTGTACAATATCTTCCAGTGATCTGTACAATATTCTATGCAGTTATTGATGGTTATATGACTGTAGATGATGATAGTTGATTTTCGATGTGTATGGATCTTCAAGATGTAGCAAACGCCATGGATGATCGAAATCTACTGATATGCCAGGGTTCATGCGTTTGAAGCAGCAAATATCCTACGTCGAGCTATTCGGTATCAAAAATGGCAGCAGCAAAAATGGCGGCAGGAGGACTTTCTTTTGTTGGCTTGGTAGGCAAATCGCTGCCCCTGCTCTATCTCGTCGCCTTAAGGATGCGTGTACCCACGAGGGAGTGCAGCATGCATGATTCGCGACCAATCTCATGCCTGGCCTCGATGGTGGCCGGTCGGTATTTGCTAGCCACTTGAAGTGCTATAGAATAGAATTTATTTATGGCCCTATTGAGTCTATGACTGTGAAGGACAGCTAAAACTATCAAAATAGCTTTAAAGTTAATAGTAAGTTTGGATATTTTTGGGCTTAACATTTGCCAATGAATCATGGGGGTCATGCCCTATTGCGAGAAGTACTATTATTGAGTTCACACATACATAATGGGCGCAAGAGATCCAGGTATCTGAACTTCGAACTGCGCATGTGCGGATGTGCGGATTATGGGCTGTCCAACCGACGCAGCTTGCCTGCTAATCCCATCAATTCCTCAACGGAAAACATATCGCGCTTCACCAGGCTCCTCGGCTTCAAATTTCCGAGATAATTGGAGTTCTGCTTATCAGTCTATTGATGTGCGGTTGAGGGTGCATGCTGGGCATTCGACTTGCAATGTCGGGTCTTGCCAGATCTCTCACAGTCCACGACTCGCTTAGATATTGCTTTCGGGCAACGCTAGTCTCGACAGTCCCTCCATCATCTCTCCCAATTAAGATACCAGATGCAGCACCTCGCCATCTGCCATTTTTTCAAGTTCCAAGGCTATAGCGATCAAGCGACTTCCCTAGAAGATGAAGATTTTAATTTCCTAAATTCAATTACAGAGCATATAACAAGCAGATTTGAGGGCAAAACTGAACACCTGTACGCGGTGTCCTCTACGAACCTGGGAGTGAATTATTCTTCTAGAGACAAGTTCAGTCAAATTTCGCAATATCAAAGAAGTTGGCCCACGAGGCAATGATTCAAATTACTCCACCACGTCGTTTTGTCGCTCCTAACGAGTTTGACTCCTACCTAAGTCTCTTTTTTTTTTCATGAGATTTGAATTGCGTATGCAGCTGTCTAGCTATGACACAATATCAAAGAAAGGTACAGAAAAGATGACTCAATTTACAAGAGGAGGACTCATCCCCCGGATTTCTTTTGCAAGTACCACTGCGGGGTTATGGCGGCTTTTTCTTCACCCCAAGCCAACCCTCATTCGTGAATATCCACCCAGGGGAACGTCTCAAAAACCCTGAGTTATCCAGACATGCCCCCCGTCACCCATTATCTTTCCTCCGTGCGAAATGTGATCTTAGATGTCTCCTTCCCAAGTGAAGTAGGTGCCCAGGCTACTCAAACTATACCAGAGAACATCACCAGGAGGCGGACTACGGCACCTTCCGTTGTTGGCTTGTTTTTATAGTGTCAGCTGCACCCTCGCAAGCGAAGTCTTGGCGCGCACAAAGCTGAATTCGTAAAACTCCTCGCCAAAATTCGAAATTTCACGTACGTCGAGTTTATATTCTTTCTTCGCGTCATCTTATAATGTTGGAAATGGAGACACGGAGTGTTGTGGACGTACGGGCCCTCCATTTCGTCTAGATTCCCGACACGAACTTGTGTGTTTGTAAGAGGTTGGAATAGATAATATGGTAGCGCTTAAGGCTAACTATTGGATATATGAGTGGCTGTATGGCGTGGGCGCCTGGAGGTTATTGGGGGTTTTCTATGCCTATATTGCGTCACACTCGTTTATGCTGTGGCTTGGGCTACCTGTCGCTACACTTGTACTTGTGGCGCACATCTCCCACACTTTTAGCCTTAATCCGAACATGACATTCTTTTAGTCAATTTCTACTTTCGTTCTATGAATATTGCGCCCATTTTATTGCGCGATCTACATGTCCTACATAGTCATAATGTTATAATAACTAAGCTATATGGGAGCAGGACGATGGATACCCTTGGGGGAGTTATGCTCACAATAGATCTCTATAGTCGCTGTCGCGTGTGTTCTCGTGATATGTAAGACTTGAATCTATATTCTCGTATAAAGGAAACTTAGTTACAATGAATGGATGGAGGTTGAGACCTCCTTATATCTTGCTCCAGACTTACTGTGTTGTTCACAGCCTAATGCTAGAACATTCCCTTATGATATCATTTCTCTCCCACGAGAAATGACCAGCTCGTTCTCTCTCAGTCTATCAGTCTCCCGCTGATTCCATTATCTCTATTCTATCAAGTTCTAGTTTGGTCCAGTATACCCACACATGCATTACACACTAAACACCCCACGGTTTAGTTCCACAGTCACGTGCATATGCTATGATGCGACCTAAAGCATGTACCATGGTAAGTTACATGAATAACACAACACATAGACTCAGACAGGACAATAAAATGAATTAATAATAATAATAATAATATTGCGCGATATTTTCAACAAATAAACTTGTCCTGAATCCTCTCGCGCCCATTCAAAAGAACTGTTTCCCAGATTTGTGCGCCACACTTTGCTTCGTCCTGCGAATATAAATATTGGCGTGGGCGTATATTTGGTGGTCAACTGAGGCCAGAGAAAGTCGACGAGAGGTAGGGTCATTGGGATGAAGATGTACTAGGTCGTACTTGTAGGCTTAATTAGACTTAGGTAGGAGGGCAAGACTGAACACCTGTACGCGGTGTCTTCTACGAACCTGGGAGATAAATATTCTCTCAGAGCCAAGTTCAGTCGAATTTCACAATATCAAAGAAGTTGGCCCACGAGGCAAAAATTCAAATAACTACACCATGTCAATCTTTCACTCCCAAAGAGTACGATTCTCAACTAAGCTTCATCAAGTCTACAAGTACGATCTAGTACATCCTCATCTCAATGACCATACCTCTCGTCGACTTTCTCTGACCTCAGTTGACCACCAAATACACGCCCACGCCGATGTTTATACCCGACGGAGGAAGCAAAGCATGGAGCATCAATCTGGGAGACAGTTCTTTGGTATGGACGTGAGAGGGATTAAGACAAGTCCACAAGATGATGCGAAGGACGGATATAACCTCGAAGGGCATGAGATTCCGAATTTTGGCAAGGAGTTTTTCGAATTGGGCTTTGTGCGCGCCAAGACTTCGCTTGCGAGAGTGCAGCTGACACTATAAAAACAAGCAAACGATGGAAGGTGTTGTGGTCCGCCTCCTGGTGATGTTCTCTGGTATAGTTTGAGTAGCCTGGGCACCTACTTCACTCGGGAAG